GTGTTAAAATGTATAAACTAATTTGTTGGAACTAACCTGGAAAAATAAATAAGAAAATCAATTAAAATATAAAACAGGAGATAAAGTTATCCTTTTTTAAATTTAATTGGTGCATTTTAAGTGTATTTATTTAGTGGTTCATATAATTCTGCTTTTATTTTTAATTATGTCAGTTTTGGTCCTCCGTACTGCAGAAGCCTGATAATCATCTATTAATTCATGTCAAGTGTGTTGGAGCAGAGAAACAAGTAAAACGTGCAGGGCTGCGGCCCTCCAGGACCAGGATTGCCCCCCACACTGTACTAATAGCTGCCTGAAAGAGAAAATATGTCTCCAGAGACATTGTGGAACAATATGYTGCTCTGCTTGTCTCTGCATGCCATAGACTGACTGTTAATTCATCCATTGACTCATCGATCGCAGCCAGAATAAGGACCCACAAATATGCATGTAAACGCATTTTATCCATGTCCTTCAACTTTCTAAAAACACACCTTTTAATCTGGATTAGTAATTTAAAGAATGATTTTCTGTATTGAACTGGGCATGAGTGGCTCCAAAGCTGACTTGATGTTTGTGACCTAGTAGGCCCTGGAACAGTTTTTATATATATTGTTATATTTTCTGCAGACAGAAAATGTCCCTGGCATTTTCTTGGAGATGAAGACCACTGGATTTCACAGATTTGTATATGAATGTCTTGCTTGGAGGAATGTGACAARTGTTTTCATTAATTGGTTCATAATAAGAATCATCAGACTCAGAAGTGATCTCAGTACTGTCTTTAGCTTCAGACACATCCTCTTTGTTTCACCATCATGATCAAAGATCAGTTCCGGTGCCGTCAGGGCTGTCGTCTTATTTCTTCTGCTGACAGTGACTATATCACATGTATCTGCAGTAGAGTTACGATCCGAATCTTTTGAACGGCTCTTTACAACGAACGATRGGAGCCGAATCGTGGGCAGTAACGAGCCAATTGTAGTTTTTTTTCTTTTATTCCTCATATAATCTTTATTTTTTCATAATTAAATCACTCCCGCTTTGCTTTTTCACGGAAAACARGCRGRGTTGTKGAGTATAGAAGCTCAATGTGAAAGGGAAAGGCGGATTTCCGCTTGACAAACACATGGTTCCACCCACGTGACGAGATGACATCATCACATAAGGCTATGTGATGACGTAATACGATCAATTTGGAACGGCTCTATGAAACAAACGGCTCCCCAAGATCCAGATCCCTTCAAAGAGTCATTTATTCCATCTTTAATCTGCAGTGTGTAATGTTTCAACTCCCATAAAAAGAATATTTGTTTTCTTATGTCCCCTGCTGTGTCCACTCTTTGCGGGTGGAGTTTGCCTGCAGGAACTGAAAAGGTTCCCGTCAAAAGTTGTATAATTCAAAACGAGTGAATATTGGCAATAAACAATAAAGTTAATCAGTTTGAACATTAAAAATTGATTTAATTTGATTTATTGATTTAACAGGAAAAGATCACTAAAAATCAAGCCTGACTCAGCATAATTGCTGTTTTACAGTAGGTTCCTGTTCTGCAGCACATAAAACACTCAGAAATACAGCATCACAATCACATCATTATACACCATAGACACAAAGACAAACAAGC